AGCGCTCGATTGCGAAGGAAATATGATAATTTTCCTCTGCGAGGGGGAAACGATTGGATCACAGAGTCCACCACGGCAATTAAGGGTTAAACAAAGCGACTTCTCCCCTTATTTGCGCGGCGCGCAATAAATCGCAATTTAGTATGTTTGCCGGCGTGGGTCAGCGTTGACCGATGCGACCTGAATACGAAGTTACTATCAGGCATCGGTGACCGACACGACGTTCAGCCGGTTAACAAGTTGTTACTGCGATATTACGGGAAAGTGAGGGTTGCCTGGCGTGAAATACGAGCCCGGAGGAAAAATCTTTAAATCAGGTCCGATTCCTTTCGCAGCGTTCGCGATAACGTTTTACGCGAATTTATACCTCGTCACGAATTAAGCATAGCAACAGTCGCTACATCGTATCATTGAAATTATTCTGTTTCCAAAGAAGTTATTCGAAAATTCATTTCACCAACCCTTTCCACCTCGACTCATTTCATAGCTACGTACTTTTTCAATTTGTTCTCTCGTTCTCCTACCTTTTAATTATTATTTTGAGAAATGTCCTCGTTTGTCTATTAAATATTATTAATGCCATAATGTATAATCTTAAATGCTACGGTTGCTTAGATTTTTTTTAATATTTACAGACACAATGTTAATGTTATTAAGATTATAACGTTATAATCTTCATAACATTAACATCGTGACATTAATTTTATAATATTAACGTAACATTATTATCGTATAAATGCACCGATAAAAAATTACGAGATGTTAGTTATTATTCAATGGTATTGCAACTTTATTATATATATTATGATCACTATATATATTATATGATTGTTATTATATTATTGCATTGTATTGTATTATATGTATTGTTATCGTATTATTGTATGTATTGTATTATTGTATTGTATTATTGCATTATATTATTGTATTGTATGCATTATTATATTGTAAAATTATTGTACGTATTCGTTGTTTAATCACAACCAGGTTGCTTCGCATGGCCTAAATTATTTATTCCGGACAATTTTGTCCAGCGTGTGGACCGTAGAGTGGCAAATGTTGAGAGATTACGGTTACCTTTCGCGTGGAAAAAGTGATCGAACGAAATTACAAGCGACCCCTTGATTCTGTTCGACGGAAAGAATTTGTAGAACGTTGGAAACTCTGAATAATTCTCGAATCGTTATTTTTGGCGCGCTGATTACCAAAGCCCTGCTGAACCGTGTTGCATAAATTGACGTCCATTGTTACCAGAATGCGCACGGTACGCTGAATTGTTCCGTAAATAATCCTTGAAAAGTGTAGCACCAAAGTCTCATTCGAAGTAATTATGGCTCCATGCATTTTCGCGTAGATATACGAATGCGACGTTGTTAGACCATTCCGGTAATGTACAGTATGTACATATGTGCCGTGTACAGTGCGTACGCTCGTTAATAAAACAGCGTTAACTACACTACCCAGTACGGTTCAATCGCTCTTCACTGAATTAGCAGTCCAGGAACACGTCCATTACAAACGCGCGGATGCGAAACTACGCTTCATATCTGTACGCGCGAATCTCTCCCTGCGAATGAACGGACTTTTACTTGATTTTATTCGATCAACCCGCCGTCTCGGCGCACACGCCTCGCAGACTGCGGTTTGCATCGGTTGCAGATGCATTTCTTCCTTACAAAAGACAGTATCGCGCGAGTTGTCAACTTCTCACAGTTTCTTCGAATTTAAACAGCACACAAATTCGGCAGTTTTTAAACAATATTTTTCGTTCATTCGGAGCTGAGAATTCTGAGAACGATTATTAAGTAATTTTTCAGGCTTCGTTCAATACACGAGCAGAATAATTTTGTCAACAATTTGTACACGGACAACTTTCACACGGTAATTCTTTAAGATTCGTAATCCGAGAAATTTTTTAACAATCTTTATGTTTACTTGCAATTCGAATACAAAGATTTGTCAGAAATTGTGACAATTTCTCAGGTTTCATTAACTGCAAAAGCTTTTGAACATTTATGAAGTTTGTTCGACTGACGCGAAAGTTTAGACAGAATAATTTTTAGCAATTTTTCAGGTTTAATTCAGATCCCGAATAATTTTTCAACGGTTCCCCGCCTTTCTTAAGTGTCCCAAGATTTATGAACGAGTTTGTCTTCGTACGAGCTGTATGTTGCAAAAAGCATTACCTGGCCGTATGTAAAAGCTGCGGCAGATGCATGCAAGTTTAACTGATGTCACTGTACTGTTATAAATCATCTACAGAACTGTAAAATTTCTATCTAGATGCTGAGTACAGCATGAGAGGACGGAATCAAGCGCGATCGACAAAGTCGGTGCTTTCCTTTTTTTTTCACCTTCGTTTTTCTTTCGCCGGTGAATAATATCACGAGATAACGTTTATGGGGTGAGCCGAGTTCGAATGGAACTCGCATAAATTAGAACAGAGAAGGAAACACTTTGCGAACAATAAAATCTGATCGAAGATAAAAATAACTAAATTAAATATCACATTGTGTCAAGTTTTATGCGCGGCGAATATTTCAGCGATCCTTTTCTAAATATATGAACATGTTGCAACACACTTGTTAACACTGTAACCGTCACGCCAACAAAAATGTTATATAATTAAAGTATTTTATTTATTCGAACTAATATTGAAAATTCAAGTTATATAACCCCGATCGTTTTTTCAACATAATTGTCTTTTCCGGATCCTGATGAAATTTGTAAGGTTAGCGTAAAAATCCATTTTTTAAATCTGACCGTATAATTCCGCCAGCCACGCGCGAATGATGTGGCAGTGAAATGTGTTAATTGCTGCTATCGACGTTCGATCGTTCTGAAAATGTTTGCAGCTGCTTTTCGGATTAGAAGAAGTTGAAATAACATTTTTTTTCCGCGGCGGCCAACGAATTCTCGGTACAATAATTATTCTTCCGCGAGCAATCCGATTTAGTTTTAAATGCCGACTATTCCGCCACCGTCCGACAGGAATTTCTGAAACTTCGGAGGCTGCTGCGGGAAAGTTCGGCGCCACTGCTTACCAATTTTCAGTTCCGCTCAAGTAACATCCACGTCTCTTCCTCGATTTCGACTTTTAATTAAGTTTTTAAGTGCAATATTGCTAATGCAACTTGCACGCCATTTACTTCGGCGGAGTGTACACTCGAACACCGTATCGCGGTCGTCCGATGATGTTTTATAATTTTATCCGGCAGGCTTGCGCGCGTTTTCAGCGCGTGCAAGTTTAGCATCGATGTTACCTTCGTTTTGTTTAACGATGCAGAATCGCCGTGGAAGAAAACACACTGCCGTGTAACCGCGGTCTCTATAAGCTGCGTCAAGACAATTCCATTTTGCATGAAAATCCGCGGGGCTACTTATGACCCACGCAGCTTTGAAAGTTCCGAGCTCCGCCGCGCCAGACACAGCAGCTTAAAATTACTTTCGCGAAACGAAATTAATGAAGGAACGCATGCCCGTTGAGAAGGAAGAAAAGAGACGGCCCGGAGCGGTTGGTTAAACAAGAAAAATTTACAACTTCTTCTTCAGATGTATTTGTTCGTACGCGAACGGTCGGAATTCTGGCGGGATATTCTTTAACGAATACGTTCGTCTTAAGATATTCGCCAAGGAAAGTCTCGCGTTCATTCAGAACATAACCGGCTTTTGTAATTTATCGAATTTCACCTCGTTGTTGCGTTTCCCGACAACAACGGAGAATAATTCATTCTGTTTCATTGTGATTCGCGTTGTCGTAATACAAATCGAATTGCAAACGAAGCTTCTTTAATTAATTGCTTTATATCAATATGACATTGAATTAATGCATATTTTATATTGTTCCGCGCGACAGAGGAACGAAGTTATTTTATATATAGAAGAAACTGTAATACGAAATTTCATAACCGCGAATGATAAATTCGGAGGTGCGCCGTTTTATCTCTCGCCCACGTCATTTGATGAATCATTGCGCGCGGTTACATGGACGCGCGAGTGCATTCTGTTCAAGGAATACGCACACGCAAAAATCGTTAATCATCCGGGGCAAGATCATGTTGCGTGATTTCTTCCTATCCTTGAATTAATTAGCTTGATGAATTTAGCATTCGCGATACCACCTTAATGGAATTCATCGCCGGGTTAATGCGTTTTCGAAAATTCATCCAGCATTTGCATTCGACGAACGCGTTATCGTTTATATTTCAGCTGATAAGAAACACCGTGCTAATTAACTGTTCCTTATTTGTAGAAAATACTTTTGTTAACCAACTCGGCGCAGACGTCGATCATACTTGCAAACAGTTTTTTCACCAACAATTCGTTGTTCGAGTGGTTATAATGATATTTGCGTGCGCATGTAAAATTGTTTACGTTAACATTTTCAGCAGGATGAAACAATGATGATGAATAGATTCATCGAATTTAACGGGATTATTAGTAACTACAGGAAGGAATTATTCTAATTCTTTCACTTATCTGCTTGCGCAAACGTGCAACTTATTCGCAATGTTATCACTTCAAAAGTACATTCGAACTCAATTCCGATCAATCGTTAAAATGCAGCGGAACAATTATTACAGTTATACAAGGTGTCCCACGAGTTTTCTAAGTCGTCAATGTTTACTTGTCAGTTTTTAATTCTTTGAAAATGTTTATGGCACAATTATCTGCTGAAATTAGTAAATAATTGGTAGACCGCGAATTTTCATACAGAATCAAAATTTTCGATATCAAATGCATCAAGCAAGAGTCAAGTTGCAGTTTCTGTCTTTAATCATTTCAGTGAATTGAAAATAACACCAAAATAACACAATGTTAAATTTTGCCAATTTTTCTACGGTTTCAAATTTCATCTGATTTTGAATAAGTGCACAAATTTATCGTATCGACCTAGGCTACATTAGGTGATTAGGCATTACAAGAAAGTTTGCACAGAAATTGAGGGATGCTCTGTACAGATTAATAGGAATGATAGAAGTATATTGCGATTCGCGTACCATCTTTTATAGCTTCGTCTTTTGGTAGCTTCGTCCAATAGTTGATCGATTTCGGGAATGCCTCTGAATTACACTCCAAAGTCATGTTCTGCCCCAGCTGCGCTCCCACCGATTGATTCAGTTTCGAAATCTCTGGAGCAACTGGAAATCCACAGCGAGAAAGAACATGGAATTATATTGCCTCGAAACGTAACTCATTTCTGCTTTAATATAGCAACGTAACTTATCGCTAAAATAAACAATAATTACACATTTAGTCAGTGAAATATTTAGCAAATGTTCTGTGCTGATTCAAAGAAAATCAAAAATAACATCTTTTTTGAATAATTATTTAAGTTCAAATTAATCCGCTAATCATCTATTTATTTTCGTAAAAAATGTGCAAACACGAGTTGAATAAAAATTTCATAAATTCCTCGATGATTGTAATATAAAACTTGCGATCGAATGAGAAGCGTTAAAATGATTTTATCATATGACTCGATCGAGTTTCATTCAAACTTACATTGCACTATGAGCATTATTCTTTTACTGACGGTGGGTGGCACGCCGTTGGAAGCAATGCAGAAGTATGCTCCCATCTGCGATCGGCTGACCTTGGTGATGTTGAAGACTGATCCCTCTATGCTCTTCACTGGAACAACAAAAATCGACGATTCGTTAAAAATCGTTCCCATTACCAAATATTCTTTCAAATTATCAGAAAATGGCACAAACAAATGCTAAAACATTTAGCCCAACAACAAGAAACGACCGTTTAACTCTATAAGAAGCGCGAGAATTAACGTTCGACAGTTAACAACGTTCAACTATTGCATCGATCTAATTTCCTGCGTTGTGTAAACTGTTCGTTACGCGAGCGCAAATCGAACAAATTAACCAGGAAGTTCGATGACGTTGGCAATTAAGGGTTAAGCGCATGAATTTATCACGTGATTAAATGTTTCCAAAGTATTGTTACACGACGCTGTTATTGATATTACGAAGGTGCATTTAATTATGTGCACGTATTGAATTGTGCGCGTATACACGTACAGGATCGCGTCGTTTGATCTCGCGATACTCTTTCGCATAAAATACACACGTACGGGCGCACACGACTTCATACACAGGCGCACACAAACACGCACGAAGCGCAGGATTTCCGGCGGGAAACGTTGCGAAGTTAGCGAACGTATTCGTCGGATCAACTTATGCGCGAGACACTGGTAACATATTTATTTATGCGTGGTCATAAATCCGACAGGTTCGGTACTCGTTCTAGCGGAACAATAATCATTCGCGAGAGGGGCCGGTGTTGATTTCGACGTCGCAAAAAGCTCGTTATAGCGCGTCCGAAATTAATATGAACTGATCAGCGAGGGTTTGCTTCCGCACCATCGATACTGCGAATATTCCGAGCTTTTTGTTAATCCATTTAATCCGTGTGGGTATTCGATGCCGTGGACCCAGGAATTGTATCGTAGATGGAACGCTAGTCATGCGTTTCTTGCTGTAAAGTTACTTGCCCCGACCGTAGAACACCCGATTATATCCTCCTGCGACAGTTACGGCGATACGGATCTCCAAAAAACGCCGGATTGCGTGGGCAACGCGATTTCAAAAACAGGGTTTCCCGGAAGTCACTCGCAATCCGGAAATGAGGGGTTCCTGAGGTCATTTAGAGTATCTTTTTCCTTAGTGCAAATGCAATCCGCGGCTCCGTTTACGAGTTATTAACGAAGCCAATCAGCGGAACTGGGATTCGACCGCTCGACCGCTGGCGCCGTTGACTCGGCCGCCTCACGCCAGCTGAGCTGGGATTCGACCGCTCGACCGCTGGCGCCGTTGACTCGGCCGCCTCACGCCAGCTGAGCTGGGATTCGACCGCTCGACCGCTGGCGCCGTTGACTCGGCCGCCTCACGCCAGCTGAGCTGGGATTCGACCGCTCGACCGCTGGCGCCGTTGACTCGGCCGCCTCACGCCAGCTGAGCTGGGATTCGACCGCTCGACCGCTGGCGCCGTTGACTCGGCCGCCTCACGCCAGCTGAGCTGGGATTCGACCGCTCGACCGCTGGCGCCGTTGACTCGGCCGCCTCACGCCAGCTGAGCTGGGATTCGACCGCTCGACCGCTGGCGCCGTTGACTCGGCCGCCTCACGCCAGCTGAGCTGGGATTCGACCGCTCGACCGCTGGCGCCGTTGACTCGGCCGCCTCACGCCAGCTGAGCTGGGATTCGACCGCTCGACCGCTGGCGCCGTTGACTCGGCCGCCTCACGCCAGCTGAGCTGGGATTCGACCGCTCGACCGCTGGCGCCGTTGACTCGGCCGCCTCACGCCAGCTGAGCTGGGATTCGACCGCTCGACCGCTGGCGCCGTTGACTCGGCCGCCTCACGCCAGCTGAGCTGGGATTCGACCGCTCGACCGCTGGCGCCGTTGACTCGGCCGCCTCACGCCAGCTGAGCTGGGATTCGACCGCTCGACCGCTGGCGCCGTTGACTCGGCCGCCTCACGCCAGCTGAGCTGGGATTCGACCGCTCGACCGCTGGCGCCGTTGACTCGGCCGCCTCACGCCAGCTGAGCTGGGATTCGACCGCTCGACCGCTGGCGCCGTTGACTCGGCCGCCTCACGCCAGCTGAGCTGGGATTCGACCGCTCGACCGCTGGCGCCGTTGACTCGGCCGCCTCACGCCAGCTGAGCTGGGATTCGACCGCTCGACCGCTGGCGCCGTTGACTCGGCCGCCTCACGCCAGCTGAGCTGGGATTCGACCGCTCGACCGCTGGCGCCGTTGACTCGGCCGCCTCACGCCAGCTGAGCTGGGATTCGACCGCTCGACCGCTGGCGCCGTTGACTCGGCCGCCTCACGCCAGCTGAGCTGGGATTCGACCGCTCGACCGCTGGCGCCGTTGACTCGGCCGCCTCACGCCAGCTGAGCTGGGATTCGACCGCTCGACCGCTGGCGCCGTTGACTCGGCCGCCTCACGCCAGCTGAGCTGGGATTCGACCGCTCGACCGCTGGCGCCGTTGACTCGGCCGCCTCACGCCAGCTGAGCTGGGATTCGACCGCTCGACCGCTGGCGCCGTTGACTCGGCCGCCTCACGCCAGCTGAGCTGGGATTCGACCGCTCGACCGCTGGCGCCGTTGACTCGGCCGCCTCACGCCAGCTGAGCTGGGATTCGACCGCTCGACCGCTGGCGCCGTTGACTCGGCCGCCTCACGCCAGCTGAGCTGGGATTCGACCGCTCGACCGCTGGCGCCGTTGACTCGGCCGCCTCACGCCAGCTGAGCTGGGATTCGACCGCTCGACCGCTGGCGCCGTTGACTCGGCCGCCTCACGCCAGCTGAGCTGGGATTCGACCGCTCGACCGCTGGCGCCGTTGGCTCGGCCGCTTCGTGCCAGCTGAGCAGGAATTCGACCGCCGTTGGCTCGGTCGCCTCGCGCGAACCGAGCTAGCCTCTCATTGGTCACTGTTTTTCGCTAATAACTCGTAAACAAAGCTGCGGATTAAATTTGCGCTAAGGAAAAAGTTACTTCAAATTACCCCAGGAACTCCTCATTTCCGGATTGCGAGTGACTTTTGGGACATCCTGTATATTCGCGCGATACAAGTTGTCTGAGCATCGTTCCATGTGTATTTCCTTTCGGATTCTTCGAGAGGGAAGCACAGAAATACGAATATGCGATATTAATATAAAATATCAACGTGGATAAATATTATTGCGCATGGATAAATTGTACTTGACTGAAATGTTTGTAATTTTATAAAATTTCTTAGCTCTTTTATATTCTTTTTGCCAAATTCGAAACTTTGATATTCATATGGTTTAATTTATTTCAATCTCTAAATTGTAATGTGATTACAGTTTTGTCTGTTTATTGATACTATTATTTATTGATTTACTAAACGAGCCAATTACACGCGGTCTAATTACAGAAAATAGTACAGAGTAATTAAAGATTGAAAGCCATTTAATGAAATATTTATGTAAAGCAAACGTAAAATTATCCTTTTATCTTGCTTCACTTCTAATAATGTTCTAATAGCACTTTTCCAGGCTTGACAAACTGTGACCGTAAAGAAAGCAACGTGTAAATGCGCAAACCATGTGAAAATGGGTTTGAGAACGGCAAGTGTTTGCAAATACTCGGTGACTGTGTTCGGAAGCAGTAGCTAGCTGCCATTTTGGATTGGCGACACTGAGAGGGACTCGTTCGTATTTTTTCTTTTTTTTAGACAAGGGAACGAAATGAATATTATTCGAACAGGAATGCAATTAAATAAATAGGGCCTAATGTTTAGGGCCAATTTTCTAGAATTCTTTTGCAATATGTATTAAGTATTGAAAATTGTTTGACTGATAATTCACACGTTCAGGGAGGATTTTTACCAGCATAATAATCAACATCCTGTGTATATAATTGATTAATACGCGAATTGGCATTAATATTCTTGTTATTATATATTATTTATTGTAAATAATCTATAGATTTTCTATTTTGAATAAATACAATGAAGATTTGTCATTTAAAATAAACAGAATAAAGATTTACTATGTAGAATAAACAGAATAAAGATTTACAAATTCGAATGAACAAAAAAAAATATACCATATAGAATAAACAGGAAGGTGCTAGATTCTCGAATAAACAAATTGTTCCAAACATTCGTCAATAATTGAACAGACACGAGTTTGCAAACTACAGTTCGCGCTGCGCGCAAAAAGTGAAACGTTTCGTTCGGTTGATTAATTTCTCAACGCTATCACTTCACTTGATTGGAACTAGTGGTCTCCGGAAGTAGCCAATCGATCAGGGGCGCGAACGAATGATTTTTATTTGCAAATCGTTCCACGTACAGCGATTCCGTCGCCATTTTATCGGCTGTACTTCTCATAAATTAAATGCGTTTCAAGCTTTTACAACGGCGCGGCGCGGCACGGCGCTGAGAAACTCGTGATACTATACGTTATTCCGGACCTGAAAAACTCGCACCCCATTCTGAAGATGGCACATGGTTGTTGCCATCCCCCCACTTTCGAATAACATAACCGAACGAGCTCGCGTGAAAGCAGCTTGCTAATGATTTACAGATTTATAATCTCAACCTCGGCCCCCTGTTTCAGTGATAAATCCATTTACGCGTCCTCTTTGCAATCGTATCCGAAGTTAAACCAAATTAACGAGAATAATATTGTCCGCACTGTAAGGATGTTCACGAGTTCTTAAATATTATCAAATATTCATATGTATGAGTAGTGCGCAATTGTTCAAAGAGAGAGAGAGAATGCCGGGTTATATTTTACTTTGAATATATTCTATTTTGAATTATAAATATATGACAACATTTATTCACGATGTTAGGTTTACAAATAATACAGAAGTATTATCCAAGGAAACTGCGGTTTTGAAAAATCGTGTATGCTATAAATACCTGCTAGCATGCATTTCTTGAAGATAAGTTTCTATACTTAGAATTATTAATGAGAATTTTTAGTATCTAATTTATAGTATGCAAATAAAAAATATATATGAATTGTACGCATGTAAATAACTAAGTATATATAAGGAAACTTTTTAGGAAAAGGGGTTAATTATTAATTATTTATTTATTATTATTTATAATTTATTTATAATTTATTTATTACTTAT